CCCTGCATTTGTTTCGTGCCCTTTTAAATTTGGAAATAAATTGAGCAACCTTTTCATCAGGCCTTTGGCTCAATCTTGCCAAGTCTGTCATAGAAACTTCAGGTTCTGTTTGAAAAAATTGGGCATGAAAAACTTCCTCCATTTGTTGCCAAGTTTGGATAAAGCCAGGTGTAAGGTTTATTTACCATACGAAGGCTGCCCCAGTTAAAGAGTTTGGAAAAAGTCTCAGTTTCATATAAACATTATTAGTAAACTCACCACACTGGCCTGTAAACCTGGCAATGTGTTCTATAGTTGACTGATTTTCATTTCCATAAAAGCGGACAAAGTCTGGTATTCTAAACCCTCTAGAATATTCATGTACCCTATCCACCAACTTTGGGTAAGGTTTTCTATACACTGGTGTCCCCGAACCATAGGTCCACACATTTCTCTAACTATATCAGCAATCTAGTCCCTAGGAACCATATTTTGTACTGGTTAAACCACTATTGGAGGAACAAATACAAGGTTTGGAGGAACTTCATCTGCTTGTGGACCTCTTGGTCCATATATGGGTACATTCAGGGCTGGTTGTCCCTGTTGTACTAGCTACTGTTAAAGGTATGGCTGGCCTCTTGGGGCCTGCCCTGTGAAAGGTACCATAGGAGGAGAAGCAAGTTTTGTTTCTCTACCAACTGTAGGAAATCCTTCTAACCCCCCGGGTGCAAGTTCAAACACAGGGTTGGTGAAACCCCTTGTGCCAGGCATGTTTTCAAACATAGGATTTGGAAATGCTCTCATGCCATTACCCTGGGCTGGCCCAGATCCACCAAATTGTATGGTTTCGCTGGTAGAGAATGGTATGTTCTGAGTGGCCATTGGTCTCGAAGGAGTTTCATACCATGACTGAGGCACAGGTGCTGGTCTCTCATGGTTGTGACTACTAGTCTAACCATTGACTTGTCCATTATTTTGCATAGGTTGTTTATCTCGAGCCAATTGTTGTTGAGGACTATTTACATTTTCTTCAGTTTATCTTACAACAGTTGGTAGATGAGAATTCATTCGATTTAAAAAGGACGTTGCCCATCTTTCCATTGTATACATTAGTTGTTGTCCCATAGCATCTATTAAACCTCCCTGCGGATTCAGTGGTTGGGTAGAAGGGACATTCGAAGGTCCAGTCTTATGGCCCTATCCAGCGTCTTGGACATGTGTTGTATATTCTGAAGTTCTGGTCTGTTCGACCATTTGTGGAGGATCTGATGGGATAGGTGCATCCATCACATTGTCCTCTGGGTTAGGTATTTCTACCTCTATTTTCACACTCTCTTTTAGGCGTTCGTTTTCTCCTCTTGCTCTTCGTCTAGCCATTTTTAATTGTCCCACTGGACGTGCCAAAAATATATGTTGGTTTTTTTGGCTTTTGAAGGTTAATAATGTAATTTAAAGCGTGCCAGTAAGGATTAATCAGTCCTTACAAAATTTTAATTGGCAACCAATTATCAGATGACTGTGTTAAAGTTCTTTCAACCTCAATGAAGAGGACTTTTACTGGTGGCTTATTTTAGAAGCAATTTACAAGAAACAACAAGTACCGAATAATTCAGAAACCGAATTTCATTAAGTAATAAGAACTTACAATGAAATGACCCAGCCTTGAAAAGGTTTACAGCAACGACTACTTAAGACTACTCCTAAGAAATGAAGTGCAGTACAAGAATGAAAATGCTGAAATGTAAAAAACTGGAAATGTAAAACTGGAAAGAAATATGAAATAAATAAACTGGTTTCTGGATCTGAGTCTGGGTCTTTTCTGTTTAACCTTCTCTGCTATTTAAACTCTTCAATGGTAATCATCGAAGTGGCCTTCTAACCGTCGAAATACACTTCCACGATCTCTGGTCATGGCTTCGCTCAATTAGCTCCCACTGCGCCTCTTTTGCAGTTAGGCTTCTCTTTTGAATTTGAATTTGAATTGTAGGTAACCGTTAGGCTACATCATCTCGTGCCTCTTGACTATTCCAATGTCACGCAGATCCGGTACTACCAATATGAACTGTCACGTGTCTATATTTGATTGGAGACTTGCATTAATTTCCCAAATTGCCCTTTAGGCACCACGTGTCACTCTACTATTGGCTTTTACAAATTATACAACCAACAGAGTCTATCTGCTATCCATTCCTATGATGAAAATAATATCTGCAACATATATTGTAGGGGCTTTTCCCAAATTAAGGCAAAATAGCAACTTATTTCCCAAAGTAGGCCTAGTTTGGACGAAATTCCCAAACTAAGCTAAAATGCGGATATAAACCACGCTTTCACCGTTTTTGTGCCCCTCCCGCAAAAAATTTGTAAAATCTTAAAAGCATGGTTACAAACCACGCTTTTAATTAAGAAAACGTGGTTACAAACCACGCTTTTAAGGAAATTTAATTTATACATAAAGCATCGCTTTTAAGTAAATTTTTTTTTTCCGAAAAACGTGATTGCAAACCACGCTTTTACTGTTGACGAAAGAAAGCGTAGATGATAACCACGCTTTTAACCAAAATGTAAAAACGTGTTTTCAAAACATGTTTTCAACAATACATCAAAACCAGCACTCACTCTTCTTTCTCACTCTCTATCTCTCTCTCTCTCTAACACACACACCCATACACTCACATATATAATTTTTAATATATATAAATTTTATTTTATAAAATTGAGACCAATATTAAATATATATAATAATTTATAATAGCAAATAATAATTTTTATAATTTTTGTAAATATAAATTATTTTTATATAATTTTTATCTTTCGAGTGGTTAAAAATAATTTTTTACAAATTAAATTGAAACAACCATACGTATCTATATAACTTGCGTAAAAGTTAAAATGATAATTATTTTTTGTCCTTAAATGCTTGAGTACCAAACCAGACTTCGCCAAACTGGGGATTAGAAATGGAGTTCTGGCAACTTGAACATCATGCAACAGTAGCTCTTTCATATGCTTTACCATCTGAGGCATGTTTGGTAACCATTTCGTTTTCAGTTTTCAATTTATATTTACAAAAATTTAAAAACTATCATAAAAACTTGTTTGATAATTTTTTTAGTTTATAAATGATTGACTCAATTTGTAAATTTGAGGAAAAAATGTAAATTTAAAAAATGAGTTTACGTTGGTTGTTAAACAAAAATTTAAAAATTTTACTAACACAATTTTTTCAATTACTTTTTTTTTCAATTAATTTTTTTTTTCAAATAATTTTTTTTCCAATTAATTTTTTTTTTCAATGAATTTTTTTTTCAAAGGTGAGGGGGGAACTGTCATAAACATAAATCTCAGGGGGTGTCAGTGTAATTTACCTAAATAAAAAAAATAAATTTTAAGAATTAAAGTTATTATAAATTATTATTATATATATTTAATATTGGTCTCAATTTTATAAAATAAAATTTATATATATTAAAAATTATATATCTGAGTGTGTGAGTGAGCGTGTGAGTGTGTGTCAGAGAGAGAGAGTGTGTGTGTGTGAGAAAGAAAAGTAAGTGCTGGTTTTGATGTATTATTGAAAACGTGTTTTGAAAACACGTTTTTGCATTTTGGTTAAAAGCGTTGTTATCATCCACGCTTTCTTTCGTCAACAGTAAAAGCGTGATTTGCAACCATGTTTTTTGGAAAAAAAAAATTTATTACACGCTTTCTTTCGTTAACAGTAAAAGCATGGTTTGCAACCATGTTTTTTGGAAAATAAAAATTTATTTAAAAACGTGGTTCCTAACCACACTTTATGTATAAATTAAATTTCTTAATTAAAAGCGTGGTTTGTAACCACGCTTTTAAGATTTTATAAATTTTCCGCAAGAGGGGCACAAAAATGGTGAAAGCGTGGTTTGTATCCGCGTTTTAGTTTAATTTGAGAATTCTGTCCAAATTAGGCCTACTTTGGGAAATAGGTTACTATTTTGCCTTAATTTGGGAAAAGTGTTTTTAATGATTACTTATATCTTGAAAAACTTAGAGGGTATCTTTGAAAAGGAGTTTCTAAGAGACTCGAAATAAGAATCATATATATGAGTGTAAAGGGGCCACTTCTATAAGAATTGATAAAGCTGAATTCTCTAAAGCACTCATGAAAATCAAGAATTGCCGAAGGCCAAAATGGGCACAACCGAAACAACCAAGTTGTGTTCAGAGATATTTTGTATGAATTCTATTATCTTGGCTTACATAAACAACTGAACAGTTAAAGGCATCACATCCACTGATTAGTTAGTAAGTCCGATAGTCTTTCACTAAGGAAGATTCAAGGCCAAAGCTACCTATCGTGATGCAGGATATTTCCATTTTGTACTTTCTTGTCAGTGTCTACATTTCATTTGCATTTGTGTCGTCAATTTCATTCATGTGGGGGATTGTTAGAAAATTTTAAAAGTGAATGGAAATTGACTCTATTTGAATGAAAATGGTGCAATCCTTCATGGTATCTCTTCATATAAAAGGGTGTGAACTCAAGAGTCATAACCCTTCTAAAGGTTGCAAATACTTGTATAAACATCATTCACATGGCATTCATAAGTAAAGCAAGTGTTAAAATTCATACATATGTCATAATCAAGTATAAAAAAGAGAGCCCATAACACAAACTGCTTCGTTGTACATATAGAAAGTTGTGCAATTTCTATGTGGGGTGATCGTTATATTCTGAAAGGAGGATATCCATTAATCGCAAGCACTAGTGGCGAGGGTGAAATTTATCTTAAAGACACAGTGTTCAAACACTGGCCTCGGTCACAATCTGTATCAAATTTACAAAATTTCTATAAGAAATTTCTTGTATTTTATTTTATTATTTATTTGCATTAAATTGATTTTTCCAAAAATATTTTCCTACAGTTTCTTCTTTTTCCATTAGAACTTATTCAACAGAGTATAATTACAAGAACCACTATAACAAATGCATAATTAGGATTCTAGCAAAGTAGGGAATACAATTGACCATGCTGATTATAAACTTTGGAAAAATCAGTAAAGGTTTATAAAATTACTTTTCTGGCCTCTTCTTCTGTACACAACTTGTAGAACATCATGTTAAAAAGCCAAGTTCTTCATCAATGCAATCAGGTTTGGAACTTGAGTACCAAACCAGACTTCGCCAAACTGGGGATTAGAAATGGAGTTCTGGCAACTTGAACATCATGCAACAGTAGCTCTTTCATATGCAAAAAGTAGTTACAGCAGTCATCGGCATCAAATTCTGTAAGATTCAATGTGGTTTCAAAATATCACCAGAAATCTCCACAAGAGCAAACCCCACCCTCAAAATGATGGAATCTGTTGGCATCCCTCACAATAATCTCTCTTCCAACAAACTTGGAAACTAGCTTACTGAAACTATGGCAATCCCCACAAACTCGCAAGTTCTTAGTGATTCGAATTGGGGTACCCTCACGCGTAGTAAGCAGGCCATATGCAATTGCCAACCTCTCACTGTGCCCATGAAGCATCTTCACTTTCTCTTCTTCTTCTACATTGTGCAAAACAAACTTGGTTTGAGGCACATACCCTCCTTCCCTCTCCAATCTCCCAGTAATTCGTGTCAATTCTTGGTAAATCTCATCAGATTGTGGATGAGATCTGTCTGTTGCAATAAATGTGTGAACCTTATTACCAATCTCAATCCAACTACACGCAGGATCTTTCTTCAACCGCTTCCCCTTCATCCTCATTCTCACTTCTTCCACATCTTCCCATCTACCCATTGCAGCAAAAACATTTGACACGAGTACATAATTTGCCGGATTCTCTGGATCCAATTCTAGAAGCTTCAGTGCTGCAATTTTTCCCAATTTTTTATTGGAGTGAACCCGACAAGCACCTAGAAGAGCACACCACATTGCAGTAGCAGGTTTCATTTTCATGCTTGTCACAAACCGGAATGCCTCTTCTAAGTGATTTGCACGGCCAAGAAGATCAACCAGACAGGTGTAGTGTTCTGGCCATGGCTCCAACTGATATTCACTTTTCATTGCTTCAAAAAATCTTCTACCTTCATCAACCAGTCCTGAATGACTACATGCATAAAGAAGTGCCAAGAAGGTAACATGATCAGGAACTAGATTTTTGTTTTCCATCTGTTTAAACAAATCTATAGATGCCTTTCCACTACCGTGCATCCCATATGCATTGATCATACTAGTCCATAGAACTAAATCTTTATCTCTTGTACAATTAAATACATTAAATGAGTTCTCTAATGTCCCACAGTGAGCATACATATCCACAAGAGAGCTTGCTATTGAACCCTCTAGAATGAAGCCCTTCCTAACTAAGAACCCGTGAATCTCTTTTCCTTTCCTTAAGGCAGATAAACTTGCAGCAGCAGAGAGAACACTCATCAGTGCTATAAAGTCAGGTTCAATGCCTGTTTCATTTACAGAAAGGAAAAGGTCAAGAGCCTCGTTTGCAAGCCCATTATGAACATAACAAGTTATCATGCTTGTCCATGACACAATATTTTTAACTTGAATAGAATTAAAAACATGAGACGCATAATCTACGTTTCCACACCCTCCATAAACATCCACAAATGTGTTGTGTAGCACAAGATCGGATAATCCTCTTCTCACAATGTAACCGTGAATTTCTTTTACAAGGGATATGCTCTTCAACTCACTAGAAGCCCGCAGGATGCTTCCAATCATCATTGCATCGACCCCCATTCTTTCCATTTGTGCTTCCCGGAACAACTCTAGGGCCCTCAAAGGACAATTATTCTGAGCATGCCCAGCAATGACCGTTGTCCAAGAAATGGAGTCTTTATTGAGTATCCTATGAAAAACATAATCCATATAATTCATCCTACAACACTTCCTGTACAAATCTACGAGCGTGTTTCCAACCTGTAAATCAGAATCTAATCCACTTTTTATAGCATAAGCATGAATTTCCATCCCATACAACAGATTTCCCAATCTAGCAGAGGCAGCAACCAGACTTACAACTGAACCCTGGTCAGGTTTTTGACCCCCGTCCTTCATGTCATGAAAGAAGTTCAGAGCTTCATTATAAAGACCATTTTGGACAAAAGCTGAAAGCATTGAATTCCATGATATATTATCCCTCTCATCCATGTCATCAAAAATTCTTAGGGCTTCACCAACTTTACCACATCTTGTATACATGACAAGCAAAGCATTGGCCACATAAACATCAAGATGGTGATTGGATTTCAAAATAGTAGCATGGATCTCCATGCCAAGTTTTCCAAGTGATGTGCCATCACAGGCTTGAAGTGCAGCGACAAAACTATACGTGCTTGGGCTGAGACCAGCTTTAAGCATTTCTCTGAACAGCCTCAAGGCTTCCATGGGCTGCCCATTGGCAGAATAAGCTGAAATTATTGAGTTCCACGACACAACGTCTTCTCTTTCATTCATTCTGTCAAACAACATCATTGCCATATTGAGCGCATCGCACTTTACATACATACCCACAAGTGAATTCACAACAAAT